GAATTGAAAATGATATGTATAAATGGATCCTGTTCTTGTCCCCAATTCAGAATTGTTCACACAATTGTTATCGACTTAAATCCAGATTATATTTAACACCAAGAAATTCCAACAATGTCTTACATTTTTGCAAAAGAACTGGACAGGACCTACTGTATTTTAGTTACAGTATGTACCTCATATACTGGCATCCTATTCACTTTCTCAATATCCATCTTAGTACGATAACCATTTAATCTACAAGGACAACATTTGGTTGACAGATTTTTCCTCAGCATTTTTTGTCTGAAGAGGTTGACTTGATAATTGATTTGTCCATTCATGGCAGCTCTGGGTGATTCACATTGGCTGACAGTTTGTGTCTCTGTGACGCGGTGAAAACCAATACGCCTTAACTTTCCATCTGAGGTCTGGCAGTGGCACCTCGTGATGGCTGAAAGGCTTCATGTTACCAAAGTCAGAGTCCGGTCATGAAGAATTCAACAGGTGATCCGCCATCTGTGACCGGCTCGGTGTTTACAGTCCAAAATCAAAACAACAGCACAGAACGCAGACACCAGGTACCTAACAGTCTGTGTAAATGAATCCCTTGTTTGATTCTTGTTTTAAGAAAAGAGACAGTGCTCGCCATTGGCCAGTTTAACCAGCAGGAAAATAGATTGTAATACCAAGCACAAGGAGGAAGTTGACAATACGGTGAGTTAGAAAAAGCTACCAGTCAATTAGCCCAAATCATTTGCTACTTTAACGCTAATTTTACTCTAAAGGGAACTATAATTTAGAAAATAAACATCATGATGTATTGAAGAATACTTAATACAAGGGATTGATACCATAAACTTGTTTTGGAAAATGATATGCGATGTGATAAATGAAGTGAGAAGCTGGGTAATTTTCTCATAGACTTCTATACAACAGGACATGAAACCAGATATTAGACATAATGCAGGTTTGAGGCACGCATTGGCTCTACTTTTAAGACCTGGAGGTAGCCCTTGTGATATTATAATAAAATATTAAAGTCACGCAATTGTATTAGAGGTTTAGGATTACAACATAATTCATGAGTTAAAGGTAGGGTAGGTAAGAATGGAGAAACCAGCTCGAGTGCGCTAGAATCTGAAAGTACGCAGCCGGAAAAAATCTACCCCTTCCTTCAGACTTCCTCACAGAGCCCCTCCTCCAACACACACGAACGCGCACATGACCAATGAGGGCACGAGATACATTTGTGCACGAGATGGAAGGCTGACAGGCAGGTAGGCCATCCAGTTATTTTAACCGGGCCGGCTCAGATGATTGGTCGTGCTTTTTACAGCGCCACGGCTTCCACAGATGACATTTTTTTATGTATTTATTGTCAAAGCATTTCATATATTCATTGCTATCGGGATGTTATGAGCATTCCATGGAATATAACGAAAAGTGAATTACCTACCCCACCTTTAATGAGTTATATTAATAAGTGAATGAAACTTCAGCCAACCTTCGAAACAGCCATTGATAATTAATGACCAAAATCGATCCATCCTTTAGTTTGTGCCAGATTTGGTTGCAATGTGATTTTGTTATTTAATATAATATAATAACAGTGTTGTAAATCTGTCAATAAAGTAAATATTCAAGACTTGTTTTTGTATAATAAAGATTTATATTCACTGCATTTCATGTTTAATCAGTAATATGCTTCATAGATGGATAGATATGTTTACTCTCAGTTGGGTGGTTCACTGCTGCCACGTGAACATTGAGTCTGATCCCTTTTATTGAGTTCAGTTGACCCCAGTTGACTCCCAAGGGATGGGAGGTTTTTATCATCCTCCTTATAGTCCTTTAGGCAAAGTGACATTCAAAGTTCCCACACATGGCCGACATGCAGCCCACCACACAGTCTGTCTCGTGAGCAGAGTCATCTTTTGATCATACTCCATAAAGAAGCGGGCATTATCCAGCCAGACAGTGACATCATGGATTCCCTGAAAAACAAGCTGATTCCTACATACTGTCATCTATATATACACAGTATTCAAACACACGCCATCATCATACTCAGTACCGGGAACATTCCTTATGTAATGCATGATTGTCGATGTATGATAATGGATCTTATCAACTCTGTCCCTTTGAAAACTTAAAAAAGACACTATTTAGGTTACTGATTAAAAACTGTAGCCACAAAGACTGAAATTAGCCATACCTAAGATGATAAAGGGATTTGTTTTTGGAGTTCTTTCTTATCCGAAGCCAAGGTTTAAAACCGACAGACAGATGCTATATGCAGTAGAGATTGTAAAGGCCCCCTCAGGTATTTGTGGCGTCCGATATTGGGCTACATAAATATAGGTGGCTTTCTCAAATTAGCTCAACAAGGAGTTTCTGTATCCTCAAATGTCCCCTAATTTGGAAGCTTTAAATAATTTACTTCAGCTCTCAAAGTGTACTGCTTGCAGATTAGACTGAGAGAGTTTAGTTTCAGAAATTAATGATTGGATTAAGATCATCAAAACATTAAAGGTTTTATAATCATCATCATCATTCATTGGTGAATAATAAGAGTTACTGAATGACTGCAATCGAGGTATGATTAAGATAGTTGTCATCTGGCTTTTGTTCCATAATTAAGATGTCAACTTTTTCTGACCCTGAAGCCACTCTCCTGTAGAGATATTCCTAATGTTTTTAATCACTTTGAGCAACTACTATCTTTTTAGCCGAAGCCACATGCTCTTCTCAGCTGCTTCTTGACAAAATCGCTGACCAGAACAAACCTGAATCATTAACAATCACCAGAATATATGATGCCATACAGAGTGACTTGTTAGACAGAGAAGGTGGGATGTTGGATGGTAAACCAGCAGTACAGACACTTAGCCCCAAAACAACTTTCTCTTTCATTTCCCATTTCTCCGAAACTTGGTTGTTGCTTTCAATAAAATATGTATTTTTAAATGTTCTCATAGACTTCTATACAATCAGTGAAGCGGTCCCCTGCAAATGCTCAAAAATACACTTTGAACAAGGCCAAAAGAAGAACAATATTTAACAGATGTTCTAGTGGTCAACAATAATCTCACTAAGAACAGATGGTGATTATTCAATAATAAAAAACCTCTCTTGGTTTTTTAATGGGTGGTGACATTAATAATTTGTAAGTAAACTACAGTGTCATCAGCCAAACAAGATATGCATGCACTGAGAGAATGAAAATCGTTTTTATTTCACTGCTCTCATGGTTTCTGTGCTGCTAATGAGATGGAGGCTATTAGCATCAATCAATACGACCGTTACGCTGAGCTCCTGCAGAGAGGGAAAAGTGCAGCAAGGTACATTTGGTACACAAAGAAAGGACGATGGGCTTGACAGGAGAGCAGAGATATTCGACACAATGTCTGAAATACTCTTCATCCTTCAGGAGGGTTGTGATAAAGGCTCTGAACTGGAAGTAAGAGGATTTGTGTGAGCATCAGACACACACTCCAACACACACATTTTGGCCTGCCAACGAGCGCCTGACAACTCCTGAGAGATTTCTGTGATGATGTCCTCAGTGCACCTGGAACACTGTGGGTGGATCTCACACCAGACTATGGGGCAACTCAGGACAAAGACAAAGGGCGGTTCAGTTTGTTCGTTACACTTTCGAGAAATCCATCTCTTAGTATGGTACAGTAGTACGGTTTTCCAGAACTCACAATTAGGCAACTTTTTCCAGTTAAGGCCACCTTAAGTGTGATTCATCGTGTCAATAGGGACTTGTGTTATGTAAATATGGCACAAACATACTTTAGAAAATCCCCCCTGTATCCCTTCAAATTGATGCATTTTTTTAAGTTGGGGAGATTTGGTTTTATTCTTGTTTCTTGTTACTTAGTTTACTACGGTGGCCGACAGGTGCAAACACGCTGGAGCCATTAGGAGAAACACAATGCCGTTTCAAAAAGTGATGCAAAGAAAAACATACAAATGGGCCAAAAACACATTGGCCATTCTTTAACTGTCTTTTTCATCTACTAATATACATATATACAATTGGAAAGCTTAGTCTGTGACCAAACTTAATAAAATGACCCCTATTTTGGGGGCAAATACCTGCTAGGCTACTGTTTCCTTCTGTTATTTGTTATATCTGTTCATAAATAAATAGATAGATAGATAGATAGATCATACTTTATTGATCCCAAATTGGGAAATTGTTGAATATGAGGCCTATTCAACAATTTAGTTAAGTGGTGACAATGCTTCTTGTTTTATCTATGTTATTTAGTAGCACCATGTGTTATTATGTGTATGTTGTATTTTGCAGACGACAAAATGTTTGATCGTGGCATTTTATCGCACAATACGATTCTTGAATAAATTATGATATTAGTATTGATTAAAATAAACTCACTAGTAAAGAAAAGTATCCCTATATATTAGAAATAAAGTATGTGTAAAAATAATTGTATTTCTCTGTTATAGAAAAAAAGACTTCTCTCTTGTCTGGGCTATATGGTGATTTCCCCAATAGCCTCACGGGGTGTGCGGGTGCATGACGCGCACCACTTCGACCTTGACCAAATAAACCCTCTTGTTTTACGGGTTTAAATCCTAAATACATTACGTAAACCTATACGAAAATTCCATACACAAATACATTAGTATTGTGTCCAAGTGTATAAATATCCATCGAGGGAAATTTGCGTTTATAAACAGAGGCACATTGCATTCATCCATGAGCCAGCCCCTTTCCCAAGTAGTAGTGGACCGCACCAAGTGAACAACAGGGGTGTGTGAGAAAAGAAAAACCCTAATTCTACATGAAATCTTAGATATTCTATAAAGCATAATACACAACAACATAAACACAGATTACAAAGCATATACGTTGAGATATTTGTGTATGACGATTGGGAAATCATTTTTAATAGGTGTTTTAAATTCGGACACCCCTCCATGCAGATGCCATGCGTCTGTCTGAGAGCTACAGAAGCGTCTGCTCGGGAGACAGAGGCAGCACACCGGCCTGACTGGTTTACACAGAAGTAAGTGATAATGCCTCCTCCGTGCATGTGCTCTCACAATTTCATTCCTTGAGACTCATCAATTCAGAAAAGGACGACTGATATTCTACACTGGTGAGTAAAAAACAGCAGCATCCTCAATTGGGCTTGATTATGATAAAGACATGGCGCGTGTGTGTGTGTGTGTGTGTGTGTGTGTGTGTGTGTGTGTGTGTGTGTGTGTGTGTGTGTGTGTGTGTGTGTGTGTGTGTGTGTGTGTGTGTGTGTGTGTGTGTGTGTGTGTGTGTGTGTGTGTGTGTGTGTGTGTGTGTGTGTGTGTGTGTGGGAGACTGGCCAGGGTGCCAGTGCGCAGGATGTGGCGCTACTGAATGATGAAACACTTCATAAGGGTGTCATGAGGACTGGGCGGGTTGGAGGAAATTAATGTATTCAGAAAACCCTTAATGGACAAATTGTGCCAGGGTGGAACAACGAGCCGCATGGCACCAGTGTGACTTGTTTGGTGTTTTTCTATTATTATGATTCACTACTTCCTTTCTCCATCCGCATTTTTCTCATTGTGTGCATCCCATACTGTAGGCCCGTTTATTGACAAATCATCCCGAGTCATGTGCACACAGGGCGAAAAAAAAGAAGCATGTTGTGCGTTAATTCATCATCCTTAGATGAACCCAACCACATCTTTATGTTGACATATTGAAATGGGCGTTGGTGTATTCTACCACATCCTCCTATAATAAAGGTTACTCAGCATCTGCGCTCCTTTACGCTGCTGTGTTGCGTTCACTGGCTTGTGAAATGGCCTTATAGCCTCATACAAACCAAGCTAATCTGGAAGCGTTAAAGGAAATCTATTAATCACTTAATCCTATGCCTGTTGAAAGAATGTGGGGGGGTTTGCATGTTGTATCGATGCAAGATGATTTGCAATAATTCTGGGATATTTCGCCTCGGTGATGCATTTTTACGCAAAAATAAAATGCGTTAGCCTATATCGAAAAACACTACGCCTTATGATGCTAACATTTAAAAAGGCGCACTTTAACCTGCATTTAGGTGCACCCTTTAATGTTTCCCAAGCTATTTATTGTGAAAATCATAGCGGTGTGCTGTTAAATCTGATAAATGATGATAACCCAAGCTCCATGTTTCCTCCACCCTTTTTTTTGTTAAGCAACCCTCTGCTCACATGTCTGCTCACATTCCCATTTGTGTTTTGAAACGTGATACCCTTTCATATTTGAAGGGCTTTCCCCATGCCATAAACATGAGGAAAAACAGTGTTTGGGTCCGTATGCAAATCACCCCCTCCCTTCAATTATTCAGGTGGTTGGAAACGTGATCGTGCCGTACCGACCTGTCACCGTCCCGTCCACATAGTGTTCCCTGCCGCGTTTTTTTTGTGTTGTAGAACAATGGCCTGTGATAAAAAATGTTACCCATTCATTGATTCTGCTGCCCCAGCCAGCCATGTGATCTCCATGTGAGAAATAACTCTGATCCCCTCCGGATAAAGCAATACTTTTCTGCATTGAATTTCCCCCCCATGATGATAAGATAGTGTGGGATAAATAGGCCTACAGAGTTTAAAATAACGAAATATTTTCGATACACAAAAGTATGATTACAATGGGACTGAAACACTCTACTGTGTGGGTTGTTTAGTTAAATTACTGTATTTTTCATTTATTTGGTTTATTTAATATAAGTAGTGTGTTTTAATTTGACATTTTTTATCTTAAAACAAGGTTTACATGAAGTCTATGTTTGTCTTTTAGCAGGTTTTGGTTATACAAAGGTAGTTCAGGGTAAAACCAGTCAGACAGATGCTTAAAGTAAATACACTAAACTCAAACAAAAATGCTGACACTCTTAGCAGCGAATCATCAAATGTGTTTTCTCAGTGACAAAGCACTGACTCAACTATGGGCTGTTTACTAACTGTGATTTCTCCTCCTCTCCTCGCAGACATCTGGTGATAATGACGAAATAAACTATCTTCTCATCACTCAACTTCCACAAACTGTCAAAAACAAACAAACAACTTTTGCACAGTCAAAAAGTTCAAAAAGTGACTTCTTCTCCAGACGCCTGCCCAGCCTGAAACTCAAAAGACGTTCCACCCCTCGCCCCTTGTTTGCTTTATCAAATGCCCAAAAACAGCAAGGCCGTCAAGAGAGAGCTTGACGACGATGTCACAGAGTCTGTCAAAGACCTGCTTTCCAACGAGGACGGCCGTGACAATACCTTCAAGAAGACCTCGCTGATCATCAACAACCATGAGGGGGAAGGGAAGGAGTGCGACGTGGAGGAAGGGGGGTCGGACGGAGAGGAGGAGGAGGAGCGCCCGGCCTGGAACAGCAAGCTGCAGTACATCCTGGCCCAGGTGGGCTTCTCCGTAGGCCTGGGCAACGTCTGGAGGTTCCCCTACTTGTGCCAGAAGAACGGAGGGGGTGAGTCACCTGCATTAAGAGCATGGTAGATGTTGTAAATCAAGCAACAGAAAGTAAACATGTAACCGGTGTCAATTCGCAGTGTGTGTTTACGTTGTTGATTGATGAGACCCGAGCCAGCATACAGTCGAGGCGATCTCCGTTTATTCACTGACAATATACACCAAATTAGTATTAAATTAGTTATCCCTCACACTGACTCCTCTCACGTTCACAAAAGGGGCAAGAGAAAACGTGAGGGACACAATATGAAGGGGGGGAAGTCCCCACAAAAATAATCTTCTGTGTACAGTAACTAAATTCTGGAGGCTCCGCCCACTGATTCTAGACCTAGTCGGGTATTGAACGTTCAAAACACAGAATTATTAAATACAAAACACAGAATTTGTGTGATTATACTAAATGATTTACAATAAATATTTAACAGTAAACACCACTGCATATTTACTGTTACAAAGACACCAATAATATTAGTGATGACTTATTGAACAGTACATCTGGGCCTGTAAAACTATGGCAAAAAGTAACTTAACCCTCCTATTGTCTTCGTTTCCCCCCCCCCCTTACTTTGGTGTTCGCGGTCAAATTTGACCGGTCCTGTTTTAACTGCTATTACATTAACACAAAAACCATTGTGTGTGGGGGTGTGGGTGTTTGTGTGTGATCCGGATGGTTACTAATTCGTTTTCTTTATGGCGGTCATTTTTGACCGGGAACACCATGGGTGTTACAAAGTTGACTAAATCATCCAAAGTTCAATGAAAGTGGTGATCAGCTATTTTATATGTTCAAATGTCTACTGTGAAGGATATCATAAAGCCTTAATGCAATTGAATGTAAAACAAAAAAGTTATGATTGATGAAAGTAGTAAATCGGTCAGATTTGACCCGAAGACAGGAGGGTTAAAGGACCATTTTGGTTATTGAAACGTGGTTCTTGTTTTTTACATTTCTATCATTTAACTAACCAAAGTACTAAAGTAGCTTTAATCTGGAAATGTAAAATATTGAATGTGTTATTACTTTGCATAAGCTTGTGTTTCAACTGTGCGACAAACTAAAGCATTCAGATAAGGTTGTAAATAAGTCAACAGTAAGAGAGCACACAAAAGTACGTTTTTAAAGTAAAGCTGCCAGCACTAAACGTTTATTAGCAATGGAAATAACGGGCCAAACTTTAAGTAGACTTTATTAGAGTAGACAACTGTCAAACTATGCAATAACATGTCATAATATGACAGACATTCAAATTAAATTTCAAAAAAATGAAAACTACAGAGGGACCATCATTGGTGGGAGCTAGAATGAATGACATGCATAAGGTGCAAAGAAGACTGTATTAGTTTTAGTTTCTGCAAATATAGAAATTCAAGTGTGGGAAAATCTGTGTTGTATTTGATATTAGAGAGGAGGAAAGAGGACAAAATACATTCTGGGTGTGATTCCCTTCTATGGCCTTTCTGCAATACCCTTTTAATTTAATCAAACAAAAAAGTAAGTTCCTGGAACTAGATTTCTTTACAATCAGATACCAGAAGTATAGTCTTCCTCTTTTTTTATCTTGTATGTGGGTTCACATTGCATGCAGCACTTGTTATGTCACTATGTTTATACTATGAGGGCACAGTCCTTCAACACTTCAACATCTTTGCAATGTGAAAGTAAATGTCTAAAACAATGTTAAGAATTATAATTAAAGGGAAGATTAGCCAATGTCCTCTAAAAACTCTAAATGTCAGATTAGACACTAAAAAGACTCTTTCTGGTTAATCCTCAATGGATCATTAGAATTGAAATGCTCCAAACAGATGCAGGTATTATAGCAGATGCAATTTGTAGGATTTTAAGTGTGTGTAAGGAAGATGGAGAAACAGAGTCCTTCCTATGTTATACTCGTGTGTCAAAACCAGACTGCTCACTGACCTTCAGGGTCAACATGAGAGTCACATGACCATCTGTGTCTCTCTAACAGCCGTCAAACCAAATATATAAATCACTGCTGCAGGGAATCATTATGAGCAGCTCTGACTGTGGTCTGAGTAACATTCAACGCAATCATAAGCACATTTCCTAAGACGACCTACTTGACGCTTCCTACAGTGTTGTAATTCTTCGATGAGGGTTAATACTCGTATCTGCAGGTGATACGGTGCTACTCTTCCCACCTGGAGATTATGTGAAGCCATTGACTGTCTGATAAAGCTGATGATGAAACCGCGTCAGACAGGTTGCCCAGACAGGGTGTAATCTCAAATCCATGTCAAGTTTATTTGTCGTCATTAACATCGTTTACTGAACCTCAACCTCTTCCAGTTTTTTCAATTCAAATATGTAAACAGACAAGAACAAAAGTCCTCAAAATGTCATTAGCACTTAAAGAAATCTAAACATAGTTAGCAACGGTCCATTCTCCTCTCTCTCTCATGTTATGCTTAGCAGCGGCTTGTTAGCGAGTATTAACAACCTCGGAAATGTCCAAATGAACCAATCAGAAACAAGTATTCGACTAAGCAGTGTAATACATATATATAGTTGTATGCGTGCGTGCGTGCGTGCGTGTGTGTTACCATAAAGATCCTTTCATGTTTCAGGTCTGTTTTAAACAGCTCTGGTCGCCCCGCTGTGTCTAACTGTAATTAGATTCAAACAGAGACAGATCTGACAAGTGTCTCTATTAGCTTTCTGTACAATATATTTTATTTAATAACTGTGTGGCAAGTACAGTGCTGAAATAAAAAAAAAATTATCAATTAATCTACCAATTATATTTACTTTATTATTTTCAAGTCTATAAAATGTCAGAATGTAGTAAAAAGTGACATATTCCAAATGATTTTAATACACTTTATAAAAGCATAACATAACTGATCATTTTCGCGCAGAAATAGTTTTATTTAAATGTATTTTAAGCTCATTACTTATTGTTTTTCGACCAGACACTGTCCAGAGCAACAATAAATGTGTTAGTTTGAATACTGTTTAAATGCAGCCTAAGCAGCAGTACACTGAATGATGTTGAATAATGCATTTGTTCTGTTCATATTGTAGCTTGATTGTTAGAAATCATCATACATTTCCTTCTTTGCTCCTCAATTGATTCATACAGTACATTTACCAAAGCAGTATTTAAGGTTAATCTTGTGAATCATAACTCGTTGCTCATATTACAGGTTTGTAAATCCGTCCACGCCCATTGTAGCTATAAAATGTACAAAGAATGTCGAGACAGGATGAACTAGATATTTACTGTAAGTGATCTATGAGGGAAGAGAAAAGAGAAACTATTTTTAAGAACAGATGAAGTGCACTTTTATCAGGCTGTTTGCTTTCTCAAAGTCATCAAAGTGTTTGAAGGAGACGGTCCTGGATTTAAAGACAATGGAGTTTTTTTTGTTATGCTGCCTGATGTTTGAAGCCTCTTCCCAGAATGAACTGTGTACTCGTGGAACCAGAATTAGACTTTTTAATATTAGAAACTACTTGGACACACACGCTTAAAACAATAGACACACATTTCCCTGTCTGTTAGCACTCCCATTCAAACCCAATGCGGGGGAGCAGGACGCAGGGCAGGATGTGAATGAACGTCCGGCTGATGAAACAATAAACGCTGTTGAAACAGGGATGAAACTAATCTTAAAAGACAAGGAAGTGTTAACGCTGTCATCAGTGACTCACAGCAAACATTACTGTACGTCGAGCAGACAGTCTCAACATTTGGTGTTGTGGTTCAGCCCGTGCCCCGGGGGAAAGTCACCAAAGGGGATTTTTCAAACTTCAAAAAGTGTGTTTTTTAGCAAAGATTGGCTGGTTTTCCATCAGTGGCCATGACGTTTTGAAATGTTTCTAACAATCAAGCTAAAATATTAACAAAACAAACTAGTTTTATAACATAGTTCAACTGTATTTTAATGTATTCCAAAGTATTTTGAATTTCAAATAATGAACAAAGCATGTAAAGTAACACAGACTATGAAGAATTGCTCAAGCGACAATCCTAAATCTGAAATCTTGTAGCACTTGGCATTTTTTGTTCCTTCAATTAAATATAAATAAAGCTTTTTGAAGCACTTTAACTATTAGTTGATTGATCAATTACTTGGCTAACCAAAACATAAATCAGCAGGAGATTTGAGCCTTTTCACACCATTTAAATGCAAAATAACAGAAAAGGGAAAACCCCAACAACCATAATAGTACCTCTTTCACATAAGGTCACATTAAAGCCACATTTCATGTCGTGGTTTATTCAGTGCAAGGTTTTTTTGTTGTTGTGTTGGAGCACTTCCAGAAGTTTGTTTTCAAGAAGAGATCGTCTGGTTTTCCATCAGCAGACATGTAGCTTTGAGATGATGCAACCGTTTTCTATCAGATTTCCGTGGTTTAGGGCATGAAAAGCTGCACCGCACACACCGGAACTCCACGTGAGAAGGAGCAAAAAAAAACTCCGCATCATGCATACCTACATTACCCTTTGTGTACAGTAAGAGGAAAATCAAAGACCCATTATCTTAAAATCTGGTGCCTCTGAACACTAACCACCGGCCATTTTCTTCACAACAAAGACTTTTTGGTTCTTATGTTTTCTTCCAGCCATCATGTGCCTGGCAGTGTCTCTGTCACAAGAGATGTGCCCCTCTGTATTTTAAAGCACCGCACTATTACAGCCTGTCTTAATGCTAGTCATTCGCCCTGAAACCTTAATTCTAGAGAGGAATGCTTTCTTTGCAATGCGCCTCGCAGTAATACCACTGTCATTTAGGTAATTTGAGACTACAGTATATTTCCTGGTTGGCAGAATTATTTGATTGCACCACACACCAAGGGGCATGTATTAGGTGGAGAGACACACACACGCAGCTCAACAGATGTGTGCAGTTTTATGTGTTGGTAACAGTCAGAGATAATGAGAAATATACTGTTAAAGAGGCTGCTGTGTGCTTGTATGTGCTGTATGTGTCACTATCAGGGGCACATTAGGTCGCAGTTAAATTATAGGAGGCTGTCGTTTCAATATAGCATGTGGCAGATCAAGAGAGAGTGTGTGTGTGTGTGTGTGTGTGTGTGTGTGTGTGTGTGTGTGTGTGTGTGTGTGTGTGTGTGTGTGTGTGTGTGTGTGTGTGTGTGTGTGTGTGTGTGTGTGTGTGTGTGTGTGTGTGTGTGTGTGTGTGTGTGTGTGGGTTTCAGGAAATGGTGAAATGGTTTCTATTCACGGTTATCTGATGAAACTGTTTTCCAGCTTTGCATGTGCTTCATTTAAATACTCAATAGTTTCCTTTCTTTTTTCTACTGTTGAAATATATACAGTATATTAACAGTTTTTTTTTTTCTCAATGTTTAACTTATGTGCAATGACTTGTTGACATGCTGCTGTGACAGAACAATGTCCCAATGTGGGATCAATAAGGTAAACTAAGGCAGCGGTTCCCAACCTTTTTCAACTCAAGGCCCACTTAAGAATCTAAAAATGTTTCGTGGCCCACATTCAACCATAAACAATACGGAGGTTGAATAAAGTTCTGATTGGTCAATTCAGAACATGTGACATGTTGTTAATCCAGTAGTAGAGACCGCTGTCAAAGACTGTAATGACCGTTGCTAAGGAGGATCAAGAAAGAGAAAGGAAAAAAGGTTTCCACACAAATAATAATGTTTTGCTAATTATTTGGCGGCCCACTTGCAATGCCTTCAGGTTGGGAACCGCTGATCTAATGTAATCTAACTCTGTGTGTTGTCGCTGATTGACAGGAGCGTACCTGGTGCCGTACCTGATCCTTCTGATCCTGATCGGCATCCCGCTCTTCTTCCTGGAGCTGGCGGTGGGGCAGCGGATCCGCAGGGGCAGCATCGGGGTCTGGAACTACATCAGCCCTCGCCTGGGGGGCATCGGCTTCGCCAGCTGCATGGTGAGTGGAGCAGAGAAGTTCAAGTGAAGCAGAAGAAGGAAGGCTTGATACAGCTTTGTAGGACTAAGAATAGCTGTAACTGCATTTGTATTCATCACTCAATCAGATTTGTTTATAACCACAACCTTTCATAATATAAATAAATAACACAGAAGTAAACATTAATACACACAGCTCATATAAATTGGGATAAATTGGGTGCTTTATAAAATGTCAGAAAATTGTAAAATATTTTGGTTTCTAAAAGTACAACTTGACGGCTTGGTGTTCAGTCCAAAATTCAAACCTATTGATATAATATAAAGAATAAATAGTTGTCGATTATATGTCTGTCTATGAGTAATCAATACGTAGACTTATCATTAGCTTTATGCTACTTTCATGAATAAAATATAAGAAAAACGTTTTCATTAAATAATGTTTTCACAACATTTGAAAAATGATAATATAAATAAATAATGCAAAACATAAGAATAAATACAATTCTTGAAACATTTGGTCACTAAGAGGATTGGATATTTCATTTTTAGTTATTTATTTTAAACTGTGTGTTAAATGATCATTCTTACTGTAACCTCAAACACCCCAATTCATAAATCTACAAAACAGGAAGTGGTATAGTTCATTCAAGCGCTTTGAGCACCAGGAAAAGTCTAAATAATATTTAAAAAAAGGAATAGCAATAACAAAGAGAAAGAATACATGTCGATCATGTTTGGTAGCGCATGATGACTGTTTACCTCTGAAGTTAAACATATCTATCCACTGTTTCTGGTTGTGTGTATCTGAAGCTAACTCGCCCCTGTTTCCTGTAGGTTTGCTTCTTCGTGGCTCTCTACTACAACGTCATCATCAGCTGGAGTCTCTTCTACTTCTCTCAGTCCTTCCAGCAGCCGCTGCCGTGGCACGAGTGTCCGCTGGTCAAGAACAAGACCATGACATGTAAGACACAAACACACATGTTAAAGCTGGGGTAGGTGGTTTAGTTTGGGGGTCATTTCAAAAAGATCCATAGTAAGCTTTCAGTACATAGTAACTTTAGGTGGTTCCCCAGGGTGGGAAAAGAAAAAAACATTATAACATAGTAACCTTTACGAGTACTAGGCATTTATTACAAACATCAACCATACGAATTACAGTTGAGCTTACTTGTAGGCCTGAAAACCCTTTAAGATAATATACTGGGATTTGAGTCTCTAGCTAGCTAAACTAAGGGCAAACATTTTAAAGATGGAGAGAAAATGTTGCTAACGTTAGCCTTTAGCTAGCCGCAGACGCAACTTTTTGGCTTGGTTAGCAGAAAGCTAAACTTTTAGCAACATTTGTCTCCCTTTATGAATTTGCTTTGCAGTTTTTGCTAATGCTGGAATGTTCTGCAACTGAAACATATTCTCTGGTTGAATCAGGGTTTCTCCATCTGAAATAATGTGCACACGATCTGCATTTGTCTCTCTCTGAAATCTCTGTAATTCAACCCAGTCTCACGGCATTTCGTGTTATAGTCACAAAATAAATGTAATCTATTGATTCATGTTCACCAACACGATTTTCCCATTTTTTTCGTGTCACACAGAACGATTTTAAAAGCAATGTATTTCTATTGGTAGTATGTTTCGTGCCTGCAACACGTCTTTTTGTCCGGTCGGGTCTTGGAAGACCGGAAGCTTTGTGGTTCATAAAAACATTTTCTTACTCAATATCTTACCCTAAGCCTAACCCTTTTATTTTAAATTATATAATGTCGGAGTTTTTTTGCCGTCCGCGAGGAAAAGAAATGTGGCTCAGAGCCTCAGAATACTGAAATCTTACTGACTACTGAAAGAAATGTTCCTTCTAATTATTTGGAGCAGGCACGAAACATACTACCAATAGAAATACATTGCTTCTAAAATCGTTCTGTGTGAGAATACTGAAATCTGTATTTTTTTAAAATCTCTTTTTCCTTCAAATTTGTTATTATTTACATTGCTTTTAAAATCGTTCTGTGTGACACGAAGAAAATGTGAAAATCGTGTTGGTGAACACGAATCAATAGATTAATTTTGTGACTATAACACGAAATGCCGTGAGACTGTGTTGTGTCACAGGCTAGGTTTAAGATAAGATAAGATGGACCTTTATTAATCCCCGTGGGGAAATTCAGTTGTTCAGTTGTTCAAGCAGCAATATATTCTAAGAACAAAGCCAAGAGAAAGAAGTGTAGTTTAGTCTTAAACCACTTGAATATCAAAATAATGAAAGGTTATTATGGTTTATTGGCCCATTGGCTAAAACAATAAACGTCCTACTCGCGCTTTAAGACCAGATTCACTGATAAATTCACCATGAAATCAACCTTTAACTCCTATCAGAAGGCCTCAGTGCTTATCTTGTACCGTGTTGTCCACAGATGTGGTGCCAGAGTGTGAAAAGAGCTCGGCCACCACGTACTACTGGTACCGCGAGGCCCTGAACATCTCCGACAACATCTCTGAGGGCGGAGGTCTGAACTGGAGGATGACTCTGTGCCTGCTGGCTGCCTGGACCATGGTCTGCCTCGCCATGATAAAGGGAATCCAGTCTTCTGGGAAGGTAAGGAGGATTAACTGCTCTGTTGTGCTTTTGTTAGTTTGGAGAAAATTCTGAGTCAAACTAAATACTTCGACATTGCACTTTAATATAGTAACAACATATTCAATTACATTATGTCTATATGTGTTATTTTACAAGATATGCACCATGCTGTTAACCCTCTAGCCAGAGTTAAACTGGACTTAAACATAACTATTATTCTTCCCTTTATTTATGTATTTTGTGTTGAGTATAACCTTCAATTGGTAAATACATTTATTTAGATGTGTTCAATGTATTTATTCAATGTGTTGTATTTCAGCAACAAGCTGCAAAAAGGCAGAACTGAACACATTATTTATTTCAAGAATAATCGTTATCGCGATACCTGACATTATCAAATATGTCCTTGTATCTTGCAGACATACAACCTAATCAAATATATTTAATTAATTAGTTACAGATTTTAAACATTATCGTGAATCCCCTTTTTTCCTCATATTTTGCAGCCCTTACGACAACTCAAATATAACTCTTGAGAAGTGAAACAGTAACAGAAACAAAAGGCCTTTTCTCGGAAAATCCTCTGACAAATAATTAGCTCACTTTAAGCTAGAGGTTTACAGCGAGCTGTATTGATGCCTGGTCTAAAGACACTGCTGAGTGAGTCCTGTAATGTGACTTGGCAAATGTTTCTTATGATCCAGCCTCAGATATGAGCCTGAGAGCTCATGTGATCCGGTGTGTGATTTCTGACTAGGCTCAGCATAGCAAAGCTGACAGTAGCGTGACTAGCATCCGGAAGGATTAGCATCCCGGCTGAAGGTTTGGCGTTTGCTTTCAAACTCACCCCGCGCCTCTTCTCTTTTTACAGGTGATCCTTATCATTCCACACTCTCTCGTATCATATGACCAGCATTAGCCGGTGCACTTCCAAGGTTACAGTCAAGCTTGCACTAATTGGACAAATGGTCACACTATTTAATCTTCACAGAATGAGCTTTGATGGGGAAGTCATTTGATTATGGTATTATCCCCACTTATTATTTCAAGTCTACGGGGTCAAAATTAATACAGTTTACTTCACATTTTTTGACAGCAATAAGAGTCTTAATGATTTTGAGTCAACTTAACTCAATGAAATGAGTCTTTGTAATAGTGCCAAATCATGGGTAATTAACACCCAGCTCTGCAGCTCTGTGGGTTTTTAAAGCCGCTTTTAGGTCATTATTTTGTAAGTCTCATGCATTCATCAACTGCTGCAGACAACTGTTTCCAACTCAAAGGCTCCGATAGACCCACTGTAGACACAGGAGAGACACAGCTGGTTGAAACTAGCAACAACTAGCAGATAAAGAACCAGGTGTATTCACAGGAGTAGGTGGAGACCAAAAGCCAGAAATATTGCTACAGTGCAAATGGGACATCTTTAATGAGGTTATAAATAAAGAAGGAAGTAGGGTAATTTTTTCATGGACTTCTACTGTATACAATCGAAAAAAAATTCAGATTTAGATTACTAGCTGATACAAAATATAGATAGTTGAATGGGAGGGATGAAACCTTCTTTAATGGTCTCACATGCAGAGCACACAGCACAGCGAAATGTGTTCTCTGCTTTGAACCCATCCTAGTACCAGGAGTCTAGAACTAGGAGCAGTGGGCAGCTATTGTACAGCACCCGGGGAGCAATGGGAGTGGGGGGGGGAAGGGGGGTGTCCGGTGCCTTGCTCAAGGGCACCACGGCAGGGCAGGAGGTGAACTGCGACCTCTCCAAGTAGCAGTCCACACTCCATATTTAGGTCTGTTCGGGTACTTGAACCGGCGACCCTACGGCTCACAGTCCAAGCCCCTACTGACTGAGCCACTGCCGGACTTATACACACTTATAAATACAAATGTACATATATTTATTGATAAAAATATCCAGCGACGTTTACAATGTCATTAAAATGAACTCCATCTTTACCAGCTGTGACTGACATTAATGGAACAACTGGATTAATGTGATTCGGAAAATAGTCCATTATGCTGAAGAAGTACTCAAGAGTATTTCATTGCCAATACTTTTGCACTTTTACTTAAGTAAGATTTTGAATGAAGAACTGTCACTTGTAACAGGGTATTTTCACTATTTAGTATTAAGTATTAGTTTACTTAAGTATATACTTCCTGCACTTCTTTCCCCCCAGGCTGGATATTAGAAAGACTGCAGGTCAAGGGTACTCTCGCATTGGCTTCACTTTTTTAAATCAGAGTTGACCCCCGTGTGTCTGCCAGCTTGTTTTCATATTTTCTTGCTTTAAGGATCCGGTCGTCAGGTTATTGAACATCGGGTCAAAGCTAAATGAGTTTCCCACCTTGAAGCCAAACATTGTCCTTACCTCAGGTCTTATCTTTACAGCTGTCTGTACTGAGCGCAGCGACTAAACAACAGAGTCGCTTTAATCTGGATCTGTGTCACCATGGTTTTGCAGCACTCGACAGTCTCATTTCCCTCATTTGCTACATCCTGCCGCCTGCCAAAAATGTCACTGATAACCACAATCATTGTCACACTCACCATCCTGACTGCCGCTCTGAGGGGTTTTATTAGCATACATGATGTTCAGTTCCTGCCATTGTTAAAATCAGTAGTGAAAGAAGAACTCAGATTTTACACTTGAGTGAAAGTAGTGATACTAAATCGTAAAAATACTATCTTAAATGTTAAAGCCCAGCATTAGTAAATTGTACTAAAGTAAAAGTACATGGTATCAATATATACTTAAGTACCAAAAGTTAAAGTACTAGTAATGGCCAATTTCAGAATCGTAAATATTACATTAGTAGATTTTGATTATTGATGCATTGGCAGGCGGCAGGGCGACTGTGGCTGCGAGGGAGTGCGGTCGTCTTTCAACCAGAAGGTTGTGGGTTCGATCCCAGCCCATGCACTCAACATGTCGATGTATCCTTGGGCAAGATACTTAACCCTGAGTTGCTCCCGATGGCCAACAGTGTGTGAATGTGTGTGAATGTTAGGTCCTAGAGTAAGGTAAACTGCTCTGTATGAATGGGTGTGAATGGGTGAATGACATGTAGTATGTAAAGCGCTTTGAGGGGTCTTAAAGACTGGATAAAGCGCTATATAAGTACAGTCCATTTACCATTAATGTGTTCATCACAGCTGGTAAAGGTGGAGCTTATTTAAATGACATTGCATACTGCTGCTGGGTTTGAACCTATAATAACATGTAAATGTTTATTTCTTGGTGATTCACATTTTGTATTAGCTGATGAAATGAATCTGTAAAGTAACTTAGATACATGTAGTGGAGTAAAAAGTACCTAAAAATTGAACAAAAACTTATATGTACTTCATTACATTTTACCACTGTGTCCAGCGGGTAACGGTTGAAAAAAAAAAAGGATGTTCAATTGTATAGAAGTCTATGAGGAAATGTTTTTACTTCTCAGTTGATTTATCATCTCAGTAAAGATTCCCCTTTTGTAGCGATGTTTCTGGCTAAGTACAAGTACCTCAGAAAGTTCAATTCCTTTATGAAATGTCCTTTTTTTTTTTCAACCACCCCTCCTAAACATATATGCATCTATGTTATGAAGACGAAATAACCCCCTTGTTTTTTGTAAATCGCCCAAAAAGAGCCACCCAAGCAACTGGTTAATTGTACAGTTAGAGCCAGATGGTGTTGCTCAAACTACCTGGTGTGTCTGGATGGCCTTTTGAGTTGGCGCGAGAAGAAATGGCCGTGAACTTTCCCTCAAAGGGGCCAGCTCCGAGTGTCTTTGAAGTGCCGTACAAAAGAATATTAATGCCCTCTCTCTACACCCGTGCTCACAAAAGCCCTTTTCCAAGAAATATCCCTACCACCATCTGCATTTCATTCCCGTTTGTGTGTGTGGGTGGGCGTGGGCGTGAAAGGGATCAGGACGTTTTGGTTTCCATGGTTTTATGCGCTCTTTTGGCTTGGCTTGATTGTCAAGAGTGTGGCCAAAAAGAAAAGGGGTAGGGCGGGCGAATAATGGCTTATGATGGGGGAGAGAAGAGGGGTGGTCGTAGATTTGGTAAAATAGACGTGAAGTTCATTAGGAGTATTTGAAAGTTGCTGAACACCATGTAAAGTAACATTATTTAGTTAATTAAATTATGTAAAATAGCCTTTAGATTCCTGACACATATAGAGAGGTGAAGTCCCGCCCATCTACTTCCGACCCATGGGACCTTATTTCGGAAAAATTATGTATTGAAGTCAATGGGGAGAGAAAGATTATCTTTCGATCCCGTTTGAATTGTGCCACGAATTACACATATGATGTTTGTCAATTTAAAAGATAATTTCCATGTCAAAAAAGTCACAGTTTGTCGTAAAACTGTTGAAATATAAGACTATGAAAAATACGCAACTAGAAAGACTACAAATCCCAGAATCCCGGTCCCGCATGCTGGCTCTTATGAACCGACTAACTCCCCTTGTGTGTATGTACAGCTCTCAACATGCCCAGACTTGTAGTGATTTTCACCTCTTTTAATACTTTTCGCCTCATTCTGAAAGAAAGAAGTGAAATGTGCCAACGTGACGGCCGTCTTGGTGTGTGGTGCGAGACGGGAGATGTAGTTCATTGAGCGGTTTCACACAATAAAAGTGTTACTTCACAGTTTTACAACACATTTTAATTTTTTTGACTTGCAAAATTATCTTTTAAATTGACAAACATCATATGTGTAATTCGTGGCACAATTCAAACGGGATCGAAAGATAATCTTTCTCTCGCCATTGACTTCAATACATACTTTTTCCGAAATAAGGTCCCATGGAGGTCCCCCGGAAAGGGAGGGACTTCGGCTCTCTATGAAGACAATTACCTCTCTGTCTGTCCTTATGGGAAAACCTATCTTTTATTATCAGTTTATGATGATAACAGTGCAGTTATTAGAACATGACCTTTCCAATAAGCACATGCTATCTGCCCTGACACAGAACCTCTCATAATAAAGTTGTTTTTTTGATAGAAGATAATGCTGAGGTTGCCGATATTTGTCTATCGCACAAAAAAAGAGCCTGTTTGGCTTTGTGCTGCTGACCAAGGCCAAGAATGTGTTCTTCAACAAAAGCACAAAGTGGGAGGTTTAATCAGTGAAGGACTGACAAGAGCTGCAGGTGTGGAAATATAAAAAATGTTTTGTAGAGAAATGTATTGCAACTATGACATTTTGCAGACCATTTACATGCACAAACACCTATATAACACACTACAGGAAAGGGAACACGCCCAAAGGCATTATTGGGCCTCTTTACTGGTAACAAAATATGACTCAGCTTTACAAACCCATTTAACAATTAAAGGTGGGGTAGGTAATTCACCTCAGAAACACTTATTGTTATATTCCATGGAATGCTCTTAACATCCCGATAGCAATGAATACATTAAATGCTTTGACAATAAATATATACAAAAATGTCATCTCTGGAAGCCGTAGCGCTGTAAAAAGCACGACCAATCATCTGAGCCGGCTAAAATAACTGGATGGCCTACCTGCCTGTCAGCCTTCCATCTCGTGCACAAACGTATCTCGTGCCCTCTTTGGTCATGTGCGCGTTCGTGTGTGTTGGAGGAGGGGCTCTGTAAGGAAGTCTGAAGGAAGGGGCAGATTTTTTTCAGCTGCGTACTTTCAAATTCTAGCGCACTCGAGCTGGTTTCTCCATTCTTACCTACCCTACCTTTAACATATAAAAAACTTTATATATTTGTTGTGGTTAAGAAAAAAACCTTTCCTAAAGAAGGGAGAACTTTACGGTCACTGGAAAATCTGTAGTACAATGTTGTATGGGACCCGTTTAGAATTAAATAAAACGTTGCATTACCAAAGAACAAATGTATAAGTCTGAGTTAACCAAACTACTTCACGTTAAGGACAATCAGAAATACGTTTGTCTGTCTCCAAGCATTGAGAGAAAGTCATTTATCTTCACTGTCCTTGAATGAACTTTCAAACATGTAAGTGAATCCTGCTTGAGGGTGAATTATCCCTTCCCTTTAAAGACGAGACATTACACAGTCTTTGTCAGAGCTGCATATGGACCATGTTAGATGTCTCTGAATCACTTACTGTGCTTATGACTTAATCCCGAACCATCCTACAATGACTGCATCCCCCCCACACACCCCTCTGCCCATCCTGTGAGCTGACGTCTCACAAAGTAGAGTCTGAGTCAGACCTCTTAGGATTTAAGTGCCACCTAGTCTTTATAGAAAAGGAGAGAAAAGCAGAGACGCCCACTGTCTACAGTAAATAGCAAGATAATTGGATAAAAAGCTTTCTTGCTGATATTGATAACATACTGTAGCTTTCATGGTACAACAAGTCATCTCTTCTTCAAGATGTCACTCGTAAAGATACACAAAATACAAGTTTAAATGTGTGTCAAAGTCCCCCACCTAAAAAAAGTTATTTTTACCAGGAACAAAATGCCATCCACATTAGACAGAACTGCTCAGTGTTAACTCTCATTTCATGTTTCTGCCAAATGATCATGATCACGCTGCATAGATAGTTAGATAGTAAGATCACACGACATGTATTTCAGTATTTCTCTAAAAAGGCACAGTCTGATAAGTGTTTTTCTGACAGGAACTGAACAGCAGTTGTCATCTAATCACCGATATGTTTTACTCAGTGACCTACAGTAGAAAACCATGACAATTGGCAATAAGCAAGAGACAATGTACATCTAAAGTGGTCTAATCTAGATTATCTGATTTATCTACAGTTCATTGGCATCTAAAAGCATCTTATTTTGATTTTAAGCAACTTATGATCATCAAACATGTTGTCTTTATTGCTAAAAGGTTCACCTCTACTGTTTCTTTTGATGGTATCATGCCTTCAAAAACATGTTGTGCCAAACGATATACATTAGTTCGGTATGTAGACCGAACTAATGTAACTACAGGCTGACTGGAGTTTTTCTTTAACTTACAGGTGATGTACTTCAGCTCTTTGTTCCCGTACGTGGTGCTGATCTGCTTCCTGGTGCGGGCTCTGCTCCTGAAGGGCTCCATCGACGGGATCCGACACATGTTCACACCAAAGGTAACACACCTTTCTGAGGTTTCTCCTCACTGTAATAGTACAAATGAGAAAAAGTCTTATGAATCCACTCTCTCTAACACACACATAAGTAAACATCAGATACAGCATAACATCCAACCTACACATCATCAAATCAGTATTTTGTATTAGGGAATTAAAATTAAAATGAGATATGTCAGGAAATAGGATCAATAAATCTTAAGTCAATAAGTCAAGTCTGACCAAGAGTCTCAAAACAAAACTCGATGTTAAACAGGAATAACTAATGTCCCTACCAAGGAACATTTTAACTAATGGGGGGATATCTTGATTATAAGGATTTACCTAACAATAATTGTTCAGTCTCAATGAATTGCTTTGTCTATAAGATGTCAGAAAGGCCAATTATACTTTGAGAGTCCAAGAAAGTGTCTTTGAAAATATTGTTTATTTAACCAGGAGTTAGAATCATAAGGAGTTTGCACTAATTATCACAAAGAAAAGCATAAAATCAAACATCTTAAAGGCTGGAATCAGGAGAAGTTTGATAACACCGCTTGAACAATGACTAAAATAATAGTCAAATTAGATAACCAATCCTTTAACCGTCTCATCTTTTTAAAATGAAGAAATACTTAAATTATATATTATACTTAATACCTCCAATTTGTCAGGAATTAACATTTAACAATTTTTCAAGCAGCCTCTGTTGAACTGAATTGACTGAAGAAAGAAAAAAGGTTTCTGAACTCAAAAATGAAATTTGCCCGGTGATTGGCCGGCTCTTTTTGGCCAACGGCAGCTCAGGCTGTGGAATCACGTCACCATGGAAACAGGAGTTACTAAGGCTTTATGTAACCAACCAGCCTGAAAACGCTGGCTCACAGCAGACGGTCTCCGGTGTCTGCTCCGTGTCCTCGGCTGACACCGAAATACTCCAATAAACCACTCGTTCTGCCGCCATTCTGCGAGAACCTGCAGACATCAAAGTGTTTCTGCTCTCTATCAGAACAGATTCAGGGCTTTTGTTACAGAAAAGGACAAACGTGGAAACTGTCAAGATGCCAGCTGTCATTTGGCAAGATGGTGCATGGAGCAGTCTGAGGGCTGTGGATGGATATGTCTCATTAAAGATTCAAGATTCAAGATATTTATTGTCATATGCACAGTAAACAGACAGTTACACCGTATAATGAAATCTTACTTTGCTAGTCCACCCTACGCAAGTAAAATACAGAAATATAAAAATAAATAAATACTTAGAAAAAAACAAATAAAAGGGCACATAAGTAGCAGCAGTTTAAAAGATATTTAAATAGTATATAAATAGTTGTATTGCACATGGTTCACAGTGTATAAAATATTGCACGGCAGACAACAAGTGCACTATGCATTGTTAAAGTAGGTAGTGCAAATGGTGAGTGTCAGTGTGTCTGTGTAGCACTCACAGTTCAATCAGTGTGTGTGTGTTTGTGGGGGGGGGGGGGGGTAGCATGTTCATCCGCCTGATGGCCTGTGGGTAGAAACTGTTTGTCAGTCTCGTGGTCCTGGATTTCAGACTCCTGTAGCGCCTGCCTGATGGAGAGTAAAGAGTATGTGCTGGGGGTGTGTACTGTCGCTGATGATGTTGTGTGCTCTCCTGGTGACCCTGGTGGTGTAAATGTCCTGAAGTGAGGGGAAGGTTGCTCCAGAGATGTACTGTGCAGTTTTTAATCACACGCTGGAGTGCCTTCCTGTCCTGAGCAGTGCTTAAATCAACTCACATGAAGATAATTGGTATTACATTTAAACCGTTAACATTATTGTCATCCAAGCATTTAAAGAAAACTGGTGAAAATCACATAAGAACATACATAAAGCTTATTGCAAAGATTTTTTAAACGTATGCCAAATAACCCCCACCTTATTTCAAATAAAACATCAGAGCTCGCATAAATCCAGCCATCACTACCTAACCCAACTGCCATAATACACAACATTTATTGAATATATCTATATATTCAGCTGAAATTATGAACTCTTTACAATTTTAAGATGAGAAATTCTATTAATATTTCATAGAGCTCAAGATTTCATAGAGTCTAAAACCAGAAAATATTTAATTCACAAATATTTGAAAGAGGAAAATAAACTCAAATCAATGACCACTTACTTGCTTGTTCTTATGTGAACATGACTAACTTGTAAATGCGAGTATAACTTCTAGTCTAGTAATTCCAGTCATTCATGTTGTGGACTTCAGTGTTAAATCATTCTTCAGGAGACTTTAAGTGTAATGAATGTGTAAGAAAATGTCAACGTTCACTGATTTGCAAGTTATTTGACTGCTTTTACCCTCAAAATATACACCTTTATCAAAATAATATAGCTGTCCTTCAAAGATAAGCTAACAGTACACTGTGTCACTTTGTGTCTTCAGCTGGAGATCATGTTGGAGCCCAAAGTGTGGCGCGAGGCGGCCACGCAGGTCTTCTTCGCTCTGGGCCTCGGCTTCGGAGGCGTCATCGCCTTCTCCAGCTACAACAAGCGGGACAACAACTGCCACTTCGACGCCGTCTTGGTGTCTTTTATCAACTTCTTCACCTCCGTGCTGGCCACCCTGGTGGTTTTTGCCGTGCTGGGCTTTAAAGCCAACATAATGAACGGCAAATGCATCTCACTGTGAGTAGCAGCAGCTTCCTCTCACATTCAAACATTTATAGACAACTGCATTTCCTGCAGACCATCACAGAGCAGATCTAGGGGTAAAGTCGTGAATGTTACTCAGACTAAAAGCGGTTTTGTGGTTATTTTATTCTTGACATGTTGAAATAGCAGAAAAGGAAACAGTTTGGGGAAATAGTTTAGAAGAAAAGGCCCCTACCATTTTTAGTTTGAATATATGTTAGATTTTTAAACAACTTTACAGTCCCTGAACATGTTTTCTCTGAACGATTTTATTAAATTATAAATTATATTTGAACCATCTGCAAAAACCCTCCCACGAACATCGACTCCCTAATCATATTATAGAAACTGTTACGAGGTACAGCTGCAGGTTTGTCACTATTTTAATTTACTCCACAAATAAACACTGTGTTTGTAGCCTTTTCAAAATAAAAGACACAAGCAAAAGTGTAAGTAATGTATTAAATAATGTGTATCTGCGCTAGAATGAGCTACAACTGTTAGCTAGTAAGTTACAGTAATGCTATTTCTTTAAGGCTGGAGCAGAGCATTACTAATATACTTGGTTATAACGTTTGAAGGGTTAATGTTATGTAACAATTCAGTTTTTCATGAAATCTGCCACAGTTATCATTGCAAACTCTGTATGTCCAAGCGTGAAATGCATTGCAAAAGTGACTAACCTGTTTTTGTTTTTTTAGAAACACCCAAAGGATTGTGTCGTTGTTGGGGAACGGGATTGAACACAGCCTGATCCCTCACCACATCAACCTGACTCAGGGCAGCGAGGTGAGCAGCGAGGACTACGATCAGATGATGGAGATCATCAAGAAGGTGAAGGAGGACCAGTTCGACTCGCTGGGTCTGGAGGCCTGCAGCATCGAGGGCGAGCTCAATAAGGTAGAAACCAAAGCTGCGAGTCTTAAGGTCTTAACGCACGAGACAATGTTTCTTCAAACTGTTGTGCCAACGTGAATTGTGTAACCATAAACACCAGAAGAACAACAAAGACATTGGCATGATTCAATTCTTGGTCATTAAAACAGCTAATGTACATGAGTAGTGACGTACAGTATGCGGGTCTACAGTATAGTGAAAAAAAAGGTTGCATGAATTCCAAAATGAAGCTTTTAAATTCAGATTTAGGAACAAATCACAATTATAATATTAGATTCCATGTGATTTTTGTTTTAGCATTATATTTGGAAGAAAAAGTCGCATCTGCTTTAAAAGAAAAAATCACATTTGGGCCACTTTAGCGTACGTAGCCTGAGCCAACTAGCTGCTAGAGCGAGCTTCACATATACAGTACACTGCTTTTATTTATTTGTTACTATTATTTTTACTGTATTGAGAGAAGCTTACGATATAATGTTATGTGAATGTTGTTGTACGCAAGTATAATGACACTAAAGATATTCTGATTCTGAGCATTGAAGGAGTATCTAAACTATTTCTGAGCTTTCCCTACATCAGGAAAACAGCACAGTCACACTTACTTCTCTGATCGTTACATTTTATGATGTTAAGCTATTAAAGCCAAGTAAAGCTCCAGGAAAGGGCAAGGATTAAACCTGCTGAACTTCTGAGAGGGCTTTAATGTGAAACACATGAGCATTAGACTTACTAAACAGGGTAATTATAAATAAAGGTTATAAGATCTCTTAAGGTCACCCAAAGTCTTGAAAAAAGCCCCCCTTAGTGCCACTGATATTTGACCTCTTCTTCTTCTCTCTTCCTCTAACAGGCGGTCCAAGGAACAGGTTTGGCCTTCATCGCCTTCACGGAGGCCATGACACATTTCCCCGCCTCGCCCTTCTGGTCCGTCATGTTCTTCCTGATGCTGGTGAACCTCGGGCTGGGCAGCATGTTCGGCACCATCGAAGGCATCCTCACCCCGCTGATAGACACCTTCAAAGTCCGCAAGGAATTTCTTACAGGTTAGTGAGACCTTAGTCACCTATTATTAAAAATCCACTTGTGCATGTCTTTCATACATCAACATGTGTCCCCTCTGTGGAAAGAGATTCTGAGAGTTTCAGGAAAAAAGATTCTCTCTCTTTTTGTCTGAAAATGAGCTGATCAGATTTTGGCCACTTGATGATGTCATAACGATTTTTTGGCTTGTGTAACCATTAGCCAATCACCAACCAAGGTAACCCCCCCCCCCCACCTTATCACCTGAATCTCCTCCTAGAGCACCATTGTGTTCTTTTTAACCAAATGTCTCTCAGAGGGGCGTGGGGAGGGGCTCCTTATTATCATCTAAAGTAACAGACAGAGAATCAGCACTTTTGAAACAGGGCTGAAACAGAGGGCATTATGGGAGATGCTGCAATGATCTGTTTGGTGTTTGGAGCCAATCAGAGACAGGCTCTGTATATATCTGAGACCTATAATATATTGATGAAAAACAGTATACTAGGGGACCTTTAAGTATCTTCTCTTTATCTCCTGCGAAGCTCAGATGGTACAATTGTGTCTAAGGCACTCTGAAATACAGGTTAAATGAACAATTTCCCTCACTAGTCAGGAGGAATTTACTGTTTTATATTCTTAGATTAAGTCAAATAAAGAGGTTTTTGAGTCCCTGCCTGAAATATGAAGGTATTGTGTTCTGTGATGGGATTGTGTCCCAATGAATGTTTTGGGTGCAGGATTGAGGAGGCGGTAATGGTAGGATATCTTACAAAAGAGGGCGGTTGCATGATTGCATAAAGTGCTGTGCAGACTTCTTGTATGTTGAATTCTGAGGTTAGATTAATCTCTGGATGTCTGTGGAGTGTGATGCAACTCAAACAGGAAGCAGACTCGTCAACTTTACAAATATGGATAATCATTTACATATATTTGTTTGAAGAGAAATATGTATTGTGCTGTGATGTCAGTACCCAGTCTTTAACCTCAGCATTAGGATGGAGTATTTCTATTCTGCAGGTTATTGCCTCTTGATATTATTGCTTTGAATTGAAGCCAAAGACAGTTTATCCTACCTTCAATATACAGTTACAGTGAATTCACTTTACTTACGTGTCTTGTATGGGTATAGTATATCGAACCCCCTCTTTTAAGTCGAGGCTTGCTTCAGCTGCTTACCCAGAAGTCTTTTAACTTATTTTAGCACCTACTGTATTTACAATGTTGTTTTTAAACCATTCTGTATCTCTTTTATGCATGGTTTTTACAAATCTGTTATTCCATTATGTTTATTTATTGTGTTTCTTTCTTTTGTCTTCTTATTAACCCTCCTATTGTCTTCGTTTTCCCCCCCTTACTTTGGTGTTCGCGGTCAAATTTGACCGGTCCTGTTTTAACTGCTATTACATTAACACAAAAACCATTAATCATCACCAAATTTCATTTAACACCCTTTCAAACTGTACATATTGCATCAGACTACTGGTATACATGAACAACTGCAGTAAATATACAAAGAACAGACACTGAACATGTATTGCGTGTGCCAGGTGTGATCCATGTGGGGGGATGGGCACATAAGAGCGGGACATGTGTCAAATTGATCTGTGTGTGTGTGTTTGTGTTTGTGAGTGCCAGGTGTGATTCACATGGGGGGATTGGGCACATAAGGGGTGTGTGTGTGTGTGTGTGTGTGTGTGTGTGTGTGTGTGTGTGTGTGTGTGTGTGTGTGTGTGTGTGTGTGTGTGTGTGTGTGTGTGTGTGTGTGTGTGTGTGTGTGTGTGTGTGTGTGTGTGTGTGTGTGTGTGTGTGTGTGTGTGTGTCTTATCTGATCTGATGGTTACTAATTCCTTTTCTTTATGGCGGTCATTTTTGACCGGGAACACCATGGGTGTTACAAAGTTGACTAAATCATCCAAAGTTCATTGAAAGTGGTGATCAGCAATTGTATATGTTCAAATGTCTACTGTGAAGGATATCATAAAGCCTTAATGCAATCTAATGTAAAACAAAAAGGTTATGAATGATGAAAGTAGTAAATCGGTCAGATTTGACCCGAAGACAACAGGAGGGTTAAGTGTTAATGATGATGTAAAGCACTCTGAATTGCCTCCGTGTCTGAAAATGTGCTAAATAAATAAACGTACCTCACCTTACCTCTCCTCTCGCCTCCCGCAGTGGGGTGCTGCGTGCTGGCCTTCTCCATCGGCCTCCTGTTCGTTCAGCGCTCAGGGAACTACTTTGTGGCGATGTTCGACGACTACTCTGCTACTCTGCCTCTGCTCATCGTCGTCGTGCTGGAGAACGTGGCCGTCGCCTGGGTCTACGGGATCGATAAGTAAGAACACAACTTCATCCATCTATACTTTTTAGAAATTGGTCCTGTACTAAAGAAACTGCCATAGTTTGAGATACATTTGGAATATTTAGCAAACACAACAGTAGCAATATGCAGTTTTGGTTTAAATACAACTTTCAAACTATTATGAAAAACCTAAAATGGTGTATTTATATAAGTTTCTTTTTTTACACAAAGTGGATTTTCCCAACACAAGAGCTGTGTTTTCTATAAAGAGCAAGCTGTTATTAAGAGTTGTGACTTTGAGCAGTAAACACAAACTCTTTGCCTGCCAAGTATTACTGTTTCTGGAGATCACTCTTAGGTACTGAAGTGCATTTACTCAATTTAAAGTACAACTTGCATTACATTCACTGCATTTCCGAAGCCATTTTTGTACTTCTTATTCCATAACATTTATTTACAGCGTAGTTACTTTATACAATTATCAATAAAAACAACAACAAACATACTCCAGAAATGTGATGTATATGATTCTGAAGTGGGTAATTACGCCTAACGAGTGCCTTTACTTTTGGTACTTCAGTATATTTTGATGCCAATACTTTTTTACTTTTAAGATTTTGAATGCAGGACTTTTACTTGTAACAGAGTCTTTTTCCAATTTATCATCACAACTATTCCACACATCTTCCCCCACTGATGTGTGTAATGTTAGAAAGGAGCATAATGTAAACAGCATGTACAGTTAAAGGCCATCAGCTTTATAAAGCACATGAAACTATTGTTACTCCTCCACTCCAGACGTCTGATCTCACCTCCTGCTGCGTGCCTCTGTTTCCTCTCAGATTCTTTGAAGACCTGAAGGAGATGCTGGGCTTCACGCCGTACCGCTTCTACTACTACATGTGGAAGTACATCACGCCCACCCTGCTGATATTGCTGCTGTGCACCAGCTTCATCCAGCTGGCCATGAAGCCGCCCGTCTACAGCGCCTGGATCCAGGAAGAGGTGAGTCTCCGCTCAGCCTCTCCTGGGACCATTTGTTGGAGACCTGGAACGAGAAAAAAGCAAATAAAAGGGTTCAAAGTCCATGAGGCAGGAGCTAAAAATGAGGGGAAAAGGCACGATTTCACATGTTCAGATGTCCTTTAACCCTCAGACAATCAACAGGATGTTTGGTCTAACACAGAGACATTGAAGCACCTGTTTGATCACATCAAGAGAAACATGCTCAGTAAGTGGAGCAAAGGCTCAATGGGACAAAGTGTCCCTGCATGTTCTTTGTTTAATTTGTCAAGTTTACAATGATATAAATTCAATTCACCATTCACATGCACTAAAACCTATATAACACAATACAGGAAAGGGAAAACCCCCAAAATGCATAATACAGCCCTACAGGGAATAAAATAAGGTTTATCTTATCTTAAACACACATCATCTCTAGTTAATAAAATGACATTACAACATCTGACCCCAACCTGCTGTGTGTGTCCTCCAGGCCAAAGAGCAGGAGGTGTTCTTCCCCCCGTGGGGCGTGGTGGTGTGCATCTCCCTGGTGGTGATGGCCATCATGCCGGTGCCCGTGGTCTTCGCCCTGCGCTACTTCAACATCATCGACGACAGCAGCGGGGGCATCTCCACTGTCGCCTACAAGAAGGGGCGCATCATCAAGGAGACGGCGCGGCCGGGCGAGGACGACGACGCCAGCCTGATCCAGGGGAAGTCCCCCAGCGAGGCGCCATCGCCGATGCCCGGAAACAGCATCTACCGAAAGCAGAGCGGCGGAGGGACCGGAGGAAATGAGGCGGACACCGCGCCCAACGGCCGCTACGGTATTGGTTACTTGATGGCCGACATGCCGGACATGCCCGAGTCGGACTTATAGACTGACTCTAGTGACCCCCGCCCTCTCTCTCCACACTCTGCGTGCGTTTAGTTGGCCGTATCATAAATGTATATTTCGCTTGTAATGTATATTATTTGTAGATATCGTAGCCCCTCTCTTATTTGTCGTCTCTGAACCTTATATGACTGACTGTGCACCTTTTTAAAAATTCATAAAAAGGTTTGGGAATAAGGTCCCATTCCAAACCGACCCATACACCCGACCCATACCAGCTTTCACTCTGCGCGGTCACGTGGAGAGTCGGCCATATTAAGTGCATTTACCAACCGATGGGTTAAAATAGTTCCTTATATTTTCTAGTAAACTGTAAATGAAGACATTTTATATTGTCATATACTGTAGATGTTAACAACTTCATGGTTGGTAAGCAGTGTTGGGTGTAACGCGTTACAAAAGTGCAGAGAAAGATTGTGCAGCCTGGTGTTTACGTGAGGGATATTGTGCAGCGAGGCGGTCGGCAGTTGTTATGCTATACCACCTCGCCCTTCACTGGATGTATAGCTGCACTAAACTACATTTTAGCATTTAAAATACCTAGCCATTCTTTTGCAGTTATTTTTGGTGAAAGTAACTCAAAAGTAATATAAAAGTATTGTAACTCATTACGTTTCAGAGACAGTAATATTGTAATGTAACTTATTACTTAAAAAAGACAGTAATATGTACTGTATTACATGTTGGAAGTAACTTGCCCAACACTGTTGGTAAGTACAGTATGCCGGTGTCTAGTCTAGAAGACAGGGTGAGCAAGATCCCTGAAGGTGCTCTTCTTTTAAACAGCTTCCTACTTAATAAACCAACTATTTGACTCACAATATGAAATAAAAAATGATTTTATGGATTTAAAAAAGTGCTATATCTTCCGCTAAGATAAAATGGTTTGTCCCAATGCGTAACAACGACTGGAACTGAGGCGCGATTATGGAAAGTTACGTAATTTCCTTCTTTAGTCGGAAAGAGGTGAGCTTGTCGCTGTATTTGCACACCTCCACCTCAAAAGAAGGAGCCATATTCAGCTGCGAGTGTGACTACAGACGGAGTTAACTCTTTCACGGAGGGGGAGTGTGTAGGGGTTGGTTTGGAATAGGGCCTAAATGTCATCCTTGTCTAACCCATTCGGCTGCGTCCCAAACTCATCTCTGGCTCCCTCCTCTTGCAGAAGGGCAGTACAAGTGTAAGCAATAAGGTGGGGGCTCCACCAGGCCTACTTGAAAACAAGAATCTGCAAAGAGGAGTGGGTTTAGAGGTCAAGAGGTCATGTTGGGACTGCACCTGTGTCTGTGGGCAGTGTACATCCATCCTGCTTTATGTCCTACTGTATAAAAAGTGGTTGTGTATATTAGGATCCATAACTGATAGCCAACCAGTCGTGAGTTTAGTAGCAGTTTAACGATGCAAGATGTTTCAGGTGAGGTCATCTCAGTTCAAACAGCGAGGGGACGGCCTCTGAAAACCACTGAGACAGAAGTGTGCCTAAGTAGTTTATATTTGTTTATAGAATACATGATGGCTGTTGTATATTTAAGGTATTCTGTAAAATAATATAAATATTATAAATATATTTATCTTGATAGTTTGGATATCAACACTGTGTTTTTAAGGTTCAGAAGTACTTCAAATCCTTAACTCTCTCCGTGTCTTTGTTTTTTACTAATGTGCTGTCCATGTTTGTGAGGACCGAGTCCTCCGTGTAAATAATTTTTCCATGAAATGGCTTCAAATGCAATGTCTTTTTTTCCCCGTCAAAATTAAAGATCAAATATGGTCCATAAAATGATACTTATGTGATGTCTGTTTTTTGTCTTTGAATGGCAGTTTTTCCCAGAAATTCAAGGTTTCCAAATCAAAACTTTCTAAATAAATCTTAATGTAAAAAACTTGAAAATACCATAAAATCAAACATACAATATCCAACCACAGTTACTACATACTTAATGTAAGAACATACCAAAAGAAGTATTATAATATCAGAAATATGTGTTTAAAAGAAATCTGTAAAAGCAACTAAAAATTGAATTTAAAGGTCCCACGTCATGCTTTCCCCCTATTACCCGTCCCCTTGTGTGTTATGAAGGTTTTTCTGCATGTAAACGGTCTGCAGAGTCACAAACCCTCAAAGTACACCCTGTAGCGAGTAAAACTCTAACACAGAAAAGACCTGTCTATGCTGCCCCAGAACGCCTCGTTGGAGATTTCTCATTTTCCATTGTTTACTTCCTGGGTTCTGTGACGTGTGAACACCCAACTCAACAACAAATGACCGGATTGGCCCAAATGGACCAATCCGCGGAGCACCTCACACACCAGGATCCCTTGGCTAACTAACAGGGAGTCCCCATTGACTTGCATAGAGCTCCCTGAACGCTGGTAATAGACGAGTTGGGATCATGGAGCAATGCTCTCTGCAGACCCATTCTCACAGCGTTATAAACCTTTTTCTTACTCAATATCAAGCCACACTTATTGTTTTGACTTCGGCTGTGAGTGTTTGTGTGTGCTCAGGATGAGTTTCGCTTGTTCTCGCTGTATCGCCGACCCGGAAACCTGTCCGCTCCTCGCGGCAACGAGCCTCGCAACGTCCCGACCAATCAGAGCACACTGGGCTCACAGGGAGGGGGGGGCAGGAGCTCCAACAAGCCGTTTAGGACAGAGAGTGAATACACATACTTTACAGAGATGCTGTATGAGAAACCAATGTGAGTTTGGAACATTTAAATGTATTCTAGTAGACCTCAACAATGGAATTATGATCAGTAGAAATGGCCATGACATGGGACCTTTAAGTATTTGTACTTTTATAAAAAGAGGAATAACCAATACAATGTTTACACACACTCATGTTCTTCTTGCTCTGAAAACAAAAACAGCACAATCACAGTAAATAAAATAGCATTTACTTATTGTTGACTTCACAAAATGTAACTAAAATTACATAAAAGCTTTGTAGAAAGTCGGCAGCATACTGTATGAGAAGTGGTAAACACACACACGTGCAAATAAATAATCAAATATACACTTTTGAAAGGCTATTTTCTTTGGCTTTCTTTCCAGTTTTTTTTTTAAATCATACAACAGGTAAACAAACACTTCTTCTCAGGAGCAGGGGGTCTTCCTGAACATCTGCGCTGCTGATAACAACGCAACCCGACCATCTGTTTCCCTTTTAGAAAAATGTCTCTTTACTAATTACAAAAAGATAGTCTTCGTCTGGTGAAACACGGCAAATAAGTGCATCTTCAAAAACAACAAATATTGATTACTTGAATCACTTTTCTTTCAGAGTGGTTCATTGCATTGTGCTCTCCTTCATTAGCTCTGGGTCAGTGCACTTGATAGTCAGTATGGCTGTCAGAAACTGAGGTAAACATCTTTTTAATGTGAGCTGCTCACACATCCATCCACTGCAGAGAGGATCCCTTTCCACGAAGGTTCTGAAAAAAATCATTGGTATAATTATTACCACCATCACGGTTACAACAACTACTAGTAAGGGTGTTCAAATAAGGTAAAAGTATGTTCTCCTTTATGATATCACACAGTTAACTAGATAATAATATGTAGCTAAATGTATGCAATATAACAAATTCAATACAAAATAATAGGAAACACATTCAAATGATAAAATGACAAAATGTGAATTAAATACATACTGTACTGTATATACAAACCTGTGGGCTCAGTATTACATTTTGTCTTATCTTATTCTGTCTTAAACATATATTAAAAAATAAAAAATGAATGTGGATATGTACAATACAAATAACTAAACTACATAATGGGAAATAAATACATACATTCAAACCTGTCGTCATCATTGAGCTCATATCCACATATTCAGATATTTTTACAGTTTGTATTCAACTGTACAATATATATATTTTTTATTTTCCTGCCAACTTAGGGTTATAATATTACACACTTTACTTCATATCGCTTGTAGCACCAGGTGGCAAATGTATACAATACATTCAACCTGTGGGCCCAGTTATGATGGAGCTTTTATATCCACGTATGTATATATTATTACAGTATTTTTGTTACTGCAAAGCATTTAAGTGTATTTCTTTTTCTGGCAACTTACTTATAGCATTACAAACTTGACTGAATCTCACTATGTAGCAAAAGCATGCTAAATTAATTTAAAGTAATAAAATGATGTAATAGGAATGAAACACATACCAGCGTGTGGGTCAGTCACCGGGGAGCTGCTCTCTCATTTTGGCGGCGATCTGCTCTCGTTTCTCGCAGTGTTTCGTCAGGTCTTTGACCTCCATCGGCAGCGTGCTGTTCCACACCATCAGCACCGACTCGTCTGACACACACACACACACACACACACACACACACACACACACACACACACACACACACACACACACACACACACACACACACACACACACACACACACACACACACACACACACACACACACACACACACACACACACACACACACACACACACACACACACACACACACACACACACACACACACACACACACACACACACACACACACACACACAACACACACACACACACACACACACACACACACACACACACACACACACACACACACACACAACACCACACACACACACCACACACACACACACACACACACACACACACACACACACACACCACACACACACACACACACACACACACACACACACACACACACACACACACACACACACACACACACACACACACACACACACACACACACACACACACACACTTTAGAAGAGAAACTCACACAGCGAGACGACTGTTTTCATCAGCGTGTGGCACAAATAATAACCACCATCACACTCACCGAACTGATTTGTGTCCTGAGGGAGTCTTCTGCCCAGAACCAGCACCACGTTCTTCCAGTTTAGTGTTTCTGTTCAGGAGAAAATGATCTTTAGTCACTCTTGAAAGACACAGAGGCTTGACTGGATGCAGCATTCAAACAAGAAAAAAAAGCACGACCAAAAAGGGGGAATGGAAAACATATTGAATATAATAAACAGTCAAGCTGTGAGCAGCAGGCTGGTTCTTCACATCATTCTTCACCCAACAACCCAGACAGGCTCACTATGATGGAAAACAGTTTGCAGTGTTTTATGTTTTCTATAATCATTCAGCTTCCTTACCTTGTTTTTGTTTTTATTTCAAGTGTTTTTGCTTTGGATTTATGTAACTCTTTATTTATTCTTGGTCTAAATACTGTACTGTTTATTTATAAACCCAGTAGAAAGTAGAAAGTATTAAATAGACAAAGTTCATCTTGAAGCTGTGGAAAACATGCAAATAAAATGACTGAGTCTGTGCAGGAACAATGTGTTCTGAGGCGCCTGAGATTATCACCATCTCATATAATACATTAACACTTATGCTAATTAGGCCAATTCGTTTTAGGGTTGTATTGAATTAGCCAAATCCCTCCAAATTAACATAATGTTATATAACTACTTTCACTATGGACTCCTAACCCGTAGAGGGAGCTGTTTAAAGAATACATTTCTATTCATTTTATTACATTTTCAATTCTGTATTCTATTTTAAACTCATGTGTAATGCCTGTTACCATGCTAATCCGACAAAAGAAATACCAATTTGGGATAAATAAAGTACATCTCAAATCTCTTTTAAGTGAGTTGGTTTTTTAATGATTTTTTTCATTAATTTTACCCTGTGAACCCAAAGGGTTTTTGAGTACCTTAAAAGCACTTAAATAAATAATTATAATACATTTGATCTATTATTTGAATTATTATTATCATTTGTTGTAGTAAAAGTAGTAGTAGTAGTTCAAGTAGTAGTAGTAGTAGTAGTTCAAGTAGTAGTAGTAGTAGTAGTAGTAGTAGTAGTAGTTCAAGTAGTAGTAGTAGTAGTAGTAGTAGTAGTTGTAGTTGTAGTAGTAGTTCAAGTAGTAGTAGTAGTAGTTCAAGTAGTAGTAGTAGTAGTAGTAGTAGTAGTAGTAGTAGTAGTAGTAGTAGTAGTAGTAGTAGGTGTAGTTGTAGTAGTAGTTCAAGTAGTAGTAGTAGTAGTTCAAGTAGTAGTAGTAGTAGTAGTAGTAGTAGTAGTAGTAGTAGTAGTAGTAGTAGTAGTAGTAGTAGTAGTAGTAGTAGTAGTAGTAGTAGTAGTAGTAGTAGCTGTAGTAGTAGAAGTATGTAAGTATGAGATGTCTGTCAATAAACATACTCCAGTTTGTGTTCTCCTCACACAGACATCATGATACAAAATGTGCAACAGAGTCCATGCATGCTGTCATCACATGAAAATATGACTAAAAGCATGCATAATGAAATATATATATATAAACTTAACACAAAAAGTAAGGACATTTGTGTGTGGTAGAGGATTTCCTTGTTGTAACAATGCTTCTATGTGTGTATGTATGCCAAGAAGCATAATTTCAACAAAGAAATAATCTACCAAACACAAATGTCCTTACTTTGTGTGTTAAGTTTATACATGAGAGTTGTCCCCACCTATGAGAGCGGAGCTGATGCAGCGGATGGAGGCGCAGCAGGGCCCCACCACCTGCAGAGGCTGGTGTTTGCAGAGCTCCAGCAGCAGCAGGTGCCCCCCCCGGGTGCCGATCCACAGGGTCGCAGCGCTCTGCACCAGCAGGGCCTTCACCTGGGCCCAAGGGGGGGCCGCGTCAGGCGGGGGGTCCACCTCACTGGCCTTCTTACTGCCGGAGTCATCTCTACAGGGAGGGGGGGGGGGGGGGACAGCTGCAGTCACACACACAAGACCTCCAGACTGACAT